GCCGAAAATGCATCAAAATCACGTATTTTCACAATTCCAGAACTGGATTTCAGTCATGCATGGATGGATTTTGTTCAGATTTAGCACAATGTGTTGTACATATGCAGGTGCATTTCGGTCATGATCTGCTTTGAATGTATATGTCACTCAAATATGAACGGAACGGGGACGTGTCATTGACAATGACTTGTTTATCTTAAAATAGTTTAGTATCGTTGTAAACTAAATTTGGCTTATTCATGACAAAAACTGCAACTACACTTTGCAAAATATCAAACAATTCAGCAATTTGGAAAATGAAGAAGAGAAAACACGATTTTCAGAATGCTTCATGCATGTATTGGTGACATTTATCAAACTTTCACTAACCAATATCTGTTAGTACAAATCACAAAGGATTGTGGGTAATCACAGTCATTCGGGGGGGGGCCTTTATGAGGTTTGAATACCTGTGTTTTTATACAGGTATCAAGGATTGTGGGTAATCACAGGCAGTCTGGGGGGCCCTCATGAGGTTTGAATACCTGAGTTTATATACTAGTTTTGATACTGCAAATGTTGATTTAGTGAAATTAAAAGTGCTTTACATTAGTCTATCTAGCAAACGACACTAGCGATTGTGCACAGTGCTGAACGTGTGTTAATTTACTTAAATACAAAAGATGAATTGTGTGCTCTGTGCTCATGGATAATTCAAAGTGCATCACTTGACATTGAAATGATCCTTCTAATTCATGTTTTTACCTAGAACCTTAAGTAGAAATCACAATAGCCCAATCGTCAGAAACTCGACCTTCTGTGGTGGAAGACCTGGGTTATGTAAATATGTAAATTTAAGCAACAGCCGTTACCGAGAACACTATTCCAATATTGCGTACATAAATTTAGATCGATTCCTATTCTGTGCATGTAAAAGTGGTTTCAACCGAAATAATGCACCAGTTTCAGACAAAATCAACAGTGTTACTCTGAGAAAACTGTAGTCGTAAATGACCCTGATGACATTTGTAGGTTTCTGAGTTGCGGTTTTCAGATCGTTTACAAAAATAAAAGATATGACTCAAATACGTTTTAAACCCCATCTTTGACATATGTGAATCAGTTCACATGCATTCTGAGGATCGAATTAAGCAATGACACCTTGTAAATGTATTGCATTATACAGTCAATGTTCTCTCTGTTGATTGCCCTTTAATCACGCTGGTAATTGTCTTGAAGGAGTATTTCAAATCTCGTTTGTACATCTCGTAGATCGTTCTTGTCGAATCGACCTTATAAAACAATCATCCATTAATGGTTTGTTTGTTTTCAAAAAACTTCGTATTAGATTCCATGACTTCGGGAAATTTTAGCGAATGTTGACGAATGGCAAGCTTTGAAGCTGTCATCATTCTAACACATTACGATCGGAATGATCCAACCTTTTTTCTCGGCCTTCTCTCTAGTTTACCAGTGACTGACATCTTTCAAGATGATTTGACGGCACACAGGGATACTCAAAGTAATGAAATTGTTACATACTCGTGTATTGTGTTTTGCTTTCTAATGTATTACTCATCGACATCACTGTTATCATTATTTCTCTTGTACCGAACTTGTCACAGAAAAAATACATCACAAATGTGTGCCTTTTATAATTTAGCTCATCATCTCTTGAGATAAAGAGACGTTGCCCTAGACGTCTAGCTACTTTTAATAGTTACTTTGAACAACAATAACCAAATATTATCTACTATATATATCCTCACGATGACCCCTAAATATAATTATGCATTTCAATGTCCGGCTGCATTGCTAGCTAATTACTAGTAGTTGAAAATATTGCCGATTTAGTGTCCCACCGACTAATGTGATGATAGTAATTTCTAGTTATAGCGCCACCAGTCAGTTTCCGTGCGATTTAGAATTGTGTTATCTTAATCTAAACGCCAATCTGGTAACTACCTTTGATATGTTCTCACTGGCTTGGTGTGCCATGACACTTGCGACGGGAGTCAGTCAAAACCTGCAGCCTTTTCGGTTATTTGTACATTTTCAGTCGACGGCGAGCCCAGCAACAAATGATAACAGATCAAAGACAAGCGCAAACAACAATGTCTATAAAATAAAATGTTGATGTTCGTTGCTCATTTCAAAATCCTATTTTTTGAAAGGTCGATGTTGCCACCACAGGCATGACTTCGAGAAATACAGCTAAACTTTAAATTGAGATTACTTGCCGCCAATTCATCAATTAAAATTACGCAACAAAACTAAAATGTTAGATTCCAAAATATGTCAGAAATTGACCGCCATTAACTTGAACCACGGACCCCTGGGGGATTCCTTGAATTCTGTTCTTTTTTTTTCCCTTTTATTGAGCGTTTATATTTTTTGATAGTGAAATAATTATGTTTAAAGAATGGATTATTTGGTTATTTAGGCAAATCTTTTGATACTCTAATTACTAGTAATTCTCTTCGTAATTCATACAGTCCATTTTCGATCGTCACGTTCAAACAGAGAATCCCGCGTCTGATTCAGTGACTTGACACCTTTTAAAAGATGATAAAACTAAATCACAACCGAACCGCGGGATTACTTTGAAATGTTCGGCTATTGGAACTTGCTTATACCTTTTGTTCATAGTATCGGAAACGTCAAAAGCTTCAAACACGTTGTTATCCACAATCACAGGTAATACGATCCTTTGTGAAGTAAACCAGTAGTGAGTATATGTACATGGGACGGTGCTCTATCACACCATTGCATGGAAGGTGTTTGATTGATTTTTGATTTCATACAACGCGAAATCCTAAAATAATTGCATTTGTTTGTCTCATCAAATCAAATTAATGGCAAAATAATTGACAAAAAATAATGATTATGATTTTGATATTTATGACAAATTAACTCTGCTACATCGTAATAACAAGATATTTTATTTTCTAGAAAAACGAACTTCACTACATCGTAATATTTTTTTAACTTTCACAAAAGCTCCAATAAGCTTTCGTGCAAAAGGCCCAACTCTGAAAAGAAACAAAATGTGAATTTGGCGAGGTATCTTTCAAATTTACAGCGCCCTCACATAATGCTCTGTATCTGAGGGGTCGCGACATTTGATGACGTGCAAGGGTCAAAGTGCATATTGTTATGGCGGATGTGAAGAACGTTTCACTATTTGGAAATCTCATTTATTTAATAATAACTTCCTGTCCTATGACTACTGATAGTTCATTATAACGAGGCACGCGTTAAGGTAAGGTCTTCGGTGACTTAAAACCTGACATATATTGAGTGTTTCATGGTGAATTTGTGTCTTTTCTTAACCAAAGACAGTAATGATTTAGATTTTGAGATTGACCACGTCGACGTCTGACTTGAGATAGCTAACTAATATCGGATCTTTGCTACTTTTGTATTGGCTATTGTACATCGGAATGCTGTCTACTACGCAGTGCTCAGAGCAGTACGTGTGTAACGGTACATCCAGACAACATACGGCTGTGACAGGCTAGTTATTTATTGTAAGGCAGTCGTAACGTCATGCATTAGATCTGTAGGCAAATCACAAGTGCCCGAGTGATACTGAATGTAAACATAGGAAACAGTGCTGAGGTCGGGGGTTCCATGATCAAAACGCTTGGAATGTTATCACACAAGGAGTTAGTCCTACTGACTGCTACAGCGGCAGAATTTCCCATATTGTAATACGTCCAACGTCCACTTTTCGGCAAACCAAAATAAGCACATACACAGACTACTTCAATTAAGAGCGTAAACATTTTCCTGGAAACTATTTTCTGATTAAATGGCTAGTTGATTAAAGTGTTTTATATATTATGTAATGTTAGAAAAAATGGGCGAAAAAAATCATTGCAGTCCTGTTGGTGACTATTCAATATCAACTTTAAAATAGTAAGATTATAATAATAAGAAAATTTCGCCAAACAAATCCCCGACACGAAACTGGACAGTTGATTTCTATTGGCATATCTTTCATGTCACTGTACGTAATTCAGCACATCTTGGTCAACTCGTAAAAACGACATCGTTTAACAATATCGGGGGCCTATTTTGTGTGAACCTTTCGTTTTATAGAATGTAAAACCAAAAAAGGCTGTTGTAAATTGAGCTGGTATTAAATAAATGGAAATTGATTATTTCTCTTGAAGAAGGCAGCCATAAGGTCACATGAACATGTCTTATTTTGTGAATGGTAAAGACAGTTGACTTTGGAGTTATTCTAAAGCGCAGAAATTGATGGCAGCGAAAATATTTACTATATACATTGTATGTATCAAATTAAGAATAGCAGTCTAGTTATTCCGTGACAATGTCGGCGTGTTACTGTCAATTTTATTTTCAGATCAACACCCACCATCAGAAATTATCATGTTATTAATATGCATTTAGAAGAGTATTCAATTGAATACTCTCAGCTCAACAAAGGCATTCCCATGATCTTTATAAATATTTATAAATTATAGTGGCAGTTGAATCCAACCAGCCAATCAACGAACAGAGTGTGCAGCGACGCCATTTGAAAACGTTTCAATATTATTCAATAGGTCAATAGAAACTTCTCATTTCAGTTTGAATTTTTAAGATATATTTATTAAGAGAAAGGAAATACCTTTGTTGTGCTGAGAGTACAAATTTGTTAAAGTTTGTTAATTTATCTATGGCGCACTCTAACTCACTAACCATTTTTTAGTTACGCTTCTTTAGCATTCACAGTAGTATCTAATAAAAAGGTGACTTATTTAACAATATAGCCAAAGTTATTGTCCTAGGGTTTGTCTTTTATCATAAGTGTCACTTTGATGAACCTGTTGTTTTAGATTAATGAATTGCATCAACAATCAGTAATACAAGTCAACTTTAGGCACTGTCCACAAAGTAGTTCCATTTATAGTCTGCTCCTTTCTATGTGCAATGTTGCAAAAATTTCCAATGTCACATTTTCATCCGTTTGGTACAAAATTTCGTTTGAATTCAATAAAATTTACAGAAAATGTGAACAAATTTACATAAATTTAAGCGGGAAAAAAAATTGGCACTCGAAGGGAAGAGTACAACATTTTTTACCATGCCATTGAAATATACCATGCTTGAACTTCAAGAAACAATACAGGGTATTAATGTGTTATTGTAACTGCATTTATTTCCAGAAACAAATTATTTGTTAATTTTTTAAATTAGTGAAAATTGTGAAATTTTGTAGTGACTTTCGTGAAATTTTGCTTCCACAGATACCATAAAATCCTGAAATCTCAAAGAAATTTCAAAAATAATATTTAATTGGTTTACATTAACTATATTTCTCTTATTACAAAATATGTATGCAAATTAGTATTATTACAAAAGTAGATGTGTAAATTAGATATGGTTTCAGAAAAATTAATTAATATGCAAATTGGCCATGTGGTTTGGGCATTTACCACAAGAGAACTCTGCAGTATTCATGCATACAAAAATGAGTACCGGTAATTGGTTAATGTTCATAGTTTGTTTTCAGTGTCAAAAGAAATTAATTCATTATAATACCGCCACCCCCACCCCTACCCACCGCTCATAGGGAGTGCGTACAGTTGATCATAGTTCCTGGGTTCCCTGTGGTTCGTCAGTATGTAAGGGAGTGCGTGTAACAGTATATGAAAACAGACTGACATTCAGAAATGTATTTGTAAGTTTTATTGGAAAATGAACTGGACTTTCAGAATGTCATCTGTATCACAGAATCAATTTATAATTATGTTTTTGTTTTTCAGAAATATTCAACCTCACTTGGCTGTGGTGTGGAGACCATGACAACAACCTATTTATTGCTGATTGTTACAAATACTTGCTGAAATACCAATACTGACATTACAAAGTACCAATACAGATGTTACAAAGTACCAATACTGATGTTACAAAGTACCAATACTCCAGTTACATAGTACCAATACTACTGATACCAACAACCAATACTGCTGTTACAAATTACAAATACTACTGATACAACTTGTCAATATTTCTTTTCCTCATTACAGATTCACTCATGGAACACCAACAGTAAATTTATCAATTACTGAAAACTTATTACTATGTAATTAGCCATTATATTACTGTGTAATATTACTATTTGATATTAAGATTAATTTTGTAATTGATAATTATAATCATTAACTTTAGTAACGTTACTAATTATTCATTACAGTACCATTACTTATTACAACAAAATAGAATTATTAATTACTGAATACATTACCATTCCCATATGGTGCTATTAATAAGTATTCATTACTACACAGTATTGTTACTGTATACTCACTAGTACTGTTACATTACTGGACAGTATCACTTTGAAATATCATTACTGACAATATCATTACTGACATCATTACTGACAATATCATTACTGACAATATCATTACTGACAACATCATTACTGACAACATCATTACTAATTATCATTAATGACAGTTACCATTACTAAGTACCATTACTGACAATTACCATTACAAAATATTATTACTGACAACTACCATTACTAAGTATCATTATTAACAACTATCATTTCTGAATACCAATGCTAACTAGTATAGTACATGACTACCTCTAGCACACAGCACCAATGCTATACAACCTTATAATGTTATCAGAAATATAATTGAAATATTCATACAATATTTCTTGATATGAATGTACATAATAAAACTACTTGTCTTTAGTATCAGGTTACTATAAAAAGTGCAATGTTTTTAAGACGCTTTAATCGGATTGTAAGCTATATACGGCTACGTTGTATCAGCCAACCAACCATCAAAAAAAGTATTCTATTACTTTTGTGTGTGAGCCTTGTAACATTATGGATATTGGTTTATTACGTATCAAACACTAGTTTCCCACAAGAACGCAATGTAGAGTTACAGACAGACATCCAGTGTAAACTGCTTCCACATGCTTCATTTGCCAGTCAAGACAAGCATAAACTCACTGGTTCTTTTAACGTTAAAGCAAAAGCATTAATATTCATAGAGAGCTCGTTGTCAAAGCCTGGACAACAGATTTTGTCACTGCTAGTGGCTCAGAAATTTAGGTATCACACTGAGATTGCAAACAGTAAAAACTTGCCAAGTTTGTCGAGCAGTGGTCACGGATTATTTTCAATTATCATTTTTGAAAATCTGGATGTCTATATCAACCTGGACCAATGGAACAGGGAATTATTGGACAAGTACTGCTTGGAATACAGTGTTGGCGTCTTGCTGTTTACCACTACTAAGGACGAAACTTTATTCAGCGAACAAGTCGGTAACTTCCCGCTTTTTATGCACTCCAATCTTGGTTTACGTGACTATGAGTTGAATCCAAACTCTGATGTTCTGTATATCACACGGCCAGGTGAAACGCTCTATGGTTATTTACCTGGTTTTGATTGGACGGTTTTCCAGACCAACCACAGTACTTACGAAGCCATAGCATATGCAAGAACCAGTACCATGGAGTATGTAAATCTCGGCTATCCACAGTTGCTGCATACTACCGTTCTATTAGATCGTGGATACCTTGATGGTATCAGGAGAATTTTCTTTGGCAATGGATTAAAGTTTTGGCTTCACAATTTGTTATTTCTGGACAGTTTATCTTACCTATCACACGGGAGACTGAGTCTGGGTCTGGAAAGATACATACAGATTGATATTGATGATATATTTGTCGGAGCCACAGGAATAAGAATGAAAGTTAGCGATGTTGAGGTATGTTTTTTTTTTTAAAAAAAATTCACACAATATGCACAATTCCATGCTTGGCTTTCTTCAATTTTAGAGCCAGACTGATGAAACTCTTAATAATTACAGAATTAGAATTTTT